AAAAAAATTCTAAACAAAAAGAAGAAATATAAATGAAAATGAAAAGGACTGAAATAAAATAATACAAAATAAATAAAAAAAGATGTTAAATGAAAGGAAAAACAAAATAAAAATAAAAATAAAAATAAAAATGAAAAAAATAGAAATAAAAATAAAAATAGAAATAAAAATAAAAATAAAAATAAAAATGAGTATAATAAAAATGAATACAGCGAAACTTTTCTAAATAAAAGGAAAAACGTGATAAGTACCTGCTACAGCGGGATGCAAAAAATTAAAATATTTAAATAATATATATTTTTTTTTGCAAGCAAAATAGCACCAATAACTTACGCGTAAAGTATATATCTTAAAGAGTTTGCATAAAACTAAAAATAACGTCTTATGTTTATATGTATGTATATATGTACTAATATTATTTCTTTTTGTGTTCTTTTTTTTTAATTTTTTACCACTTTACCCTTCTGACGGCTTGACTGTGCCGGCGCGTTGTTGTTTGCCATAAAATATATCGTATATATTTTGCGATTAAAATTATGGCAAAAATGTTGCCATACATTTTTCTGAATTTCTACGAAGAAAATATTGCAAAAGCCCTACCCACTATTATTATTATTGTTTTTTTTTTTTGTGCTACAAATTCAACACTATAAACTACATCAAGCTAATAATTTTTGCTGTACACTCTGCCCAGTCAACACTGAGAAAGAAATTTCAATCGCTATATATACTTGTATGTATGATTTACAGTTTTCTTCGATCATTTGTAAGGAAATTATTTACGAAATAATCTTGAAAGGCAATTGAATATGTTTGGCTTTATCTAGCCAAATTTAAGGAAAACTTAGACGAGAACAAAATGCTGTCTGTCTCATGCTTTTTTTGTATTTATGTCGTATTTATGACCTAAAATCGCAAATCTTAAAAATCGGCCGTATATATTATTTGTTGTAGTGGCCCAATTTAGCCGGCTCTGGCAAAAGATCAATCACTATATATAAAATTGAATGCCACTTTTCGTTGTAATTTTATAACTCAAGAACGAAAGGGATCACCTATCGTATTTAGTAGAGGTTTGTGTGAAGTTTGCACAATATCGGTCGAATGGTTCTTCATTTATCTCATCTTACATATAAAAATTTGATGTCCGTTTGGAAAAATCAATTAACCTTCAAAAATCTCATACAAATACGAACCGATTTACTTGAAATTTCGTCAGGTTCTTTCTATGATTCATGGAAAGGTTTTTCTGGTAAATGAACCGGGTACTGATCTATTCGAAAAAATCAGACTACTCTTATCGCCGGAAAATGAACTAGGGACTGACTTATGCAAAAAATTTATTTATCGTTCGACTTACTTGAAATTCGGTACATAGGTGGCTTTTTGCTTAGACGAGCAGGAAAAGTGAGCCATTTACCCACAAGTTAAGTATAAAATAAAGTTATGATAAAAAGATATCCCATGATTAATTTTCCATCATTTAATGAGTATGAGCGACAGCGAAGCTTAACAAGTTTGCTTGAAATATCTCAAAAACTGAAGGACTAGTTTGCGTTCAACTTAAGGGGAACGGACAAACAAACGTACTTGGCTAAGCCAATTCATCTGGTCTTACTGAGCTAATCGGTATACATTTTGTTGATTATCTCACTACTCCCTCGGACACTTACTTCGGACCAAAGCTAATTTACCATTTAATGCTCAAGAAGGGCTGAAGAAAGGAAATTGACTTAATAAAATCATAAGTGTCGGTTTAAAAGCGCTTAACGGTTATTGAAGAATCAATTAAGTGCTTGATATCTGTGAAAAGCATAATTTCACATTCCTCTCAAATTGAGAGCTAATAAAACTGTTTCTTGGGTTATGATGCCTCTCACTGCTCGATCATCTAACTGAAAGAGCAAATTTTCCGATCCGATTATCTATTCAACAAACAGGCAATGCCTGTTCGCCTTTTCTGTTATTTTATTATTAAGCTTTTCGACATACATATAGCATACTATACGCAAATATACTAGCATGTATGTATGGTTATGTTCTTATATCTTATTGTCAGCGCCAATGTATATATGTTTTTTTTTTTAATTTTTGTTTTTGCTGATTCCTGTGTGGGTTTTCGGTGGACCACATTTGAATTTGCGAATCGCGAGACACTGTGCTTCTCATCTCGCACTCATTGCTCTTTGATCCACATGCGCGCGCGCTTTACATACATACAAACATATGTAGGCACACAGGCCTCTATATACGTGCATACATGCCAGCTAGTTAATTGTGCGCGCATTTTATGGTATTGGTGTTTGTATTTTAAATTCTTCAATTTGAAAATTTCCACTTTGCAAATAGTGAGAAGAAAATTTAGAATTTAGTTGAATACGAGTATCGAGCCCCTGAAGTGCCTGCCCGGCTGAATATACTGTGTGCCTGTGTGTGTCCGTGCGTGCGCGAATTAGTTTTGCTTTTGAGAAACAAAAAAAAAAATAAATACAAAAAAAGCGTTAAATATTTTGTGAAAATATCTTAAAAGCGGAAAACGTGCCGAACAACAACAGCAGCAAAATATAAACAGCGACAACCAAAACGAACGGATAGAAAACTTCAGCGGGTTATATTGAGGAAAATTAAGCGGAGATTAATTTTTTTTTTTTGTTTTGAATGATTTATTGATTATAAGAAAATCAAAGAAGTCAACGTGCGGCTAATAGCAAGGAAAAATAGGAAGAAGAAGAAGAATCAGACGCAACGAAGGAAAAATAAGCGCATAAAAGCGTAAAGGATAATTGCTAAACGAAAGTCTATAATCATTTTAAATAGACCATAACGAAATATAAAAAAAAGGAAAACAACAACAAAGCGTAAAACGAATAACGAAATAAAAATAAATAAATAATAAAATATATTTATTACCAAAATCTTGAAGAGAAATTTAACGAATTTTCAAACAACAAAGAAAAATACGATTTTAAAACGAACTTAGCAAAGCACCAAAAACACGGTTATCAAAGCAATCTTGTTTAGCTAGAGGCGAGAAAAATAGAACACCAAAAAAATTGTTAGCTGTTTTGTAACATAACAAGCAAAAATACATACATACATACTCAACGTAGTTTGAAGCCACTGTAACGCCAGAAAATTCTTAGTGATTCCTTAGAAAAACTGCACGGCAATAGTAGTAATATTACAAAAACAAAAATAAATTAAAAAAATAAATGCACAAATAACATTTCTTCAGTGAAATAATTTAAAATATTTAATTTAGATTTTATGTGCAATGAACACAAAACCATTATACAATTTAATGGCTCAACGACATTAAAGTGAAAATATTTAGCATAACTCAATAATAACGCTACAAATATAGATTTGAAATTATTATGTTTTCGTCGATGATTTCGCACAACAGAACACAAAAACAAAATAAAAGATTTGCAAAAAATTACGAAATTAAACCACCGCCGGCTGTAAGCGGTGGGAAAACGGTTAAAACGCCGTTAATTTACAACGACAACTTGCGCAGACGTATCTGCGAGGAGAGAAGTGAGCTCAAGAAATTTATTTTTAATCAAATTAAACCTCCAGAGCTACGATTGGACGGTTAACGTTAAACGTGAGTGTTAACGTAACCATTAACGTTAAACGTAATAAACGACAAAATACGGGTGTATTAACAACAACAACAACAACAACAACAGCGACGATATACCATTAAAAAGATACATAATTAAAAACCAAACAAACGAAAAACCACCAAACGTAGGTCAAACGAAGCGACAAATAACGAAAAAATAAAATAAAAAATTGTACAAAAACGAAAAAACGAAATTGTGAAATTATACACAACAACAACGCTCAGCAAGGAGGATACAAAGGTGTGGCTCAAAAAACGAGCCGATCAACAGCAAAACTTTAACGGAAGTATACGAGAGAAAAAAGTAACAAATTTTTAATATTTATTTATGGCGGGACTGTTTATTACTGAAACAAAAAAGTGCCGCAAAATACCGTTAAATAAACAATATTTTACAATCGCGCAATTAAAACAATTTAAAGTAAATAAATAATTAAATACATATCTGCTATTTATGTATTTGAAAGTACATACAGATAGATACTGTTAAAAACGTTTTTTAATATTTTTTTTTAATGTTTAACACTTACGCATGCATCTTTAAGAAATAAATTATATTTGTTATTTTGTTGTATACTGTTAAAAGAGATTCTAATTGTACTGTTGAAATAGTTATAAGTGTAAGAAAAAGAAATTAATTTATTAAAAAATACATACAAACATATATTAAACGAACTAACGAAGCCACAAGCAAGTGCTATAAAACCCAACGAACTACAAAAAAAGTTAAAAAAAAAAGAATTACTCAATTTTCGTACAAAAATAAAATAGTTTAGTAGTAAATTTATATATATATATACCATTCTACTAATCAAACAAGTGTTTTAAAAGACTTTAACTACGTTTTTTTTATATACAAAACTATATTTTCATTGAAAAACAAAACCAACAAAATAAGTAAGTGCAAACCAAATAGAAGGAAAAACAAAGTTGGAAAGTTTTTAATCCTTATAAATATAAACCCGATGAAAAAACTAGTGAAAAAATTTCAAAAAAAAATATTATTTTTGTGGAAATACAGAACTCAAAATTAGTAGTTGCCACAACCTAAAGATCAAAACTACGGTGTTTTCAACCAAACCTTTTCTTTGACAAAGAAGTGTAACAAAGACTTAAAACTAGTCATTAGAAGCTATTTCATATACGCTATTTACATACAAAATTATCGCATATTAACTGCGAATCATACGTTTTAAGACATTTTACAAAACGAAATGTTATTGTTCATTAATTTTAAGTGAGTTGAAGATTGAATGAAAAGAAAAATTTTTATATTGTTATAAGTGAAAATAAATATAAAATTTCAAAAATTTATTTTTATATTTAATTTTAAAACATATATAAATATATATATATATATATATATGTAAAATATAATAAAACAATCAATTTTAACCAAATCAAAACAAAAACTTAGTAACGAATAAGAAAACCAACAACAAATACATATTTCCTCATTTAAACGTCGCGCACTAAAGACCTATTTATGAAAAGGCATCATAATTATCAACCGTACCCGACGTACCAGCACACCACCAACGTACAACAACTACAAATACAAAGCAACAACAACGACACAACACAGCAATTACATCACCATTTGCAGCAACAGCAGCATCAGACACAACGCCCGCACACATTGCGTTACGAACAACAACAACAAGCGCAAGAAAAGTGCCAACAACAAGAAAAACAACAGCAAGAGCGTATAAATTTAACGCCTCCACAACATTTGCCAACAACGCCAACAATGTCACCACAACAGCAACAACCCACGTTCACTGGTTACCAGCAGCAGCCCGCTATGCCACAACGCCAACAACAGCAACAGCAACAGCAAGCATCGACACAACAGCAACAACGCATTCAACAAGAAGAACAACATCAGCTGCTGGTAAGCGCATTGCAGCAACAGAAACAGCTGCAATTACAGCAGCAACAACAACAACAACAACAACAGAACCAATTGGCAGCTAATTATGCCACTCTACAGCAACAACAGCAACATGACACAGCTGCTGCGGTGAATACAACTGGTAATTGTAATTTTTTTCCAACTACGTCATCGCAGCAATACAGCAATGCATGCAATGATTATTTGTTGTATAATAATCAAAATAGCAACAACAGTAATAACAATCACATAAGCAACAGTAATCATGGTAGAAAGAATATCAACTTGAATTTAACAAATAACAATAATCGTGTACAACAACAATTGCAGCTGTCGTTTGCGAATAATCAAAATACAATTAATCGACATGGACAATTTCCACAACAGCAACAACAACAATCACAGCAGCAGCAACAGTCACAACAACAATCAGTGCATTTAAACCATCAACAGCACATGCAGCGCCTACAGCAACACCACCAGCAGCAGCACCACCAGCAGCAACAGCATCAATTTCAATTACAACAGCTGCAACAACAACAGCAACAGATAATGCGCCAATATGGCAACAATCATAAAAATAATATCAATACCAATAATAATAATAATAATAATAATAATAACAACAACACGAACACCAGCAATGTATTAAATAATCAACAACAATTGCAATTGCAACACTTACAGCTGCAACGTGCCTTATTGGAGAAGCAACAGCAGAAATATCACCTACAGCAACAAATATCAACTGCAGTTGCTACTAGCAATTGCAACGCTCTGCCTCTGCAAACAACCGCAGCGGTGACGAACACCAATGGTAACTACGGCAGCGGCGCTGATGGCATTGGTGACGTTGGCGTTGGCCTTGTGACGAACAACACCGGCAATGATACAACCGATTCTCGATTCTCGATGGATGCTTGCGAAATTGCAAATTTTCTAGCTAATGAGCTTTTTATGCAGCAGGTAGATGTTTGCCAGAGTCATACAATTATGCATATAGACATACGTACATACGAGTACATACTACAATACAATGTAGTATGTATGCACATACATACGAAATTCGGTTAAGTGAGGTATACTGATTAACAGCAGAACAATGTGGGTGACACACCTTATTATAAAGTACTCAATACTTGCAATTAAGCAAAAAGAAAAAGACCCCGATAAGTGTCTTAAAAACATTACTTCGTCTTTTTAAAATTCAATGAAAATACACAATTTTATTTTTGTATCGTTAGATGTAAATGCCAGAGGTGTTATAGGAGAAAACACTGGTCATCAAAGACGTGGGTTCTGTGTTAAGGCTAATTCTTCTCATTTATCAGTTTGTTTCTCTGTTTGTCGGAAAGATTTGTACGGAAAGAAATTTACAGGGTTGTGCGCCAGAGGCTGGCCTATTCGAAAAATTTTTGTTTACACTTCGATTCACTTGAAATCCATTAAAGAGGTGGTTTTTTGCTTAGCTTAACAGGAAGACTTCATCAGAGGCAGATCTATTCGAAAAAATCGTTTTCACGGTTTGGTTAACTCAAAATTATAATTTTTGCGAAGTGGACTGATAAATTCGAAAACAAAATTTTTGAATGATATGCCTGAATGGATTACTTTTGTTTCCTGGAAATGGACCAGAGACCTGAAACCAAGTTCGATTTGCTCGAAATAGAAATAATACGTTCCTTACGGGGAAGGCATCACCGAAAGAGTGACAAAAATTAGTATGACTTGGATATAAGCTTAGTTGATGTTGATTGTTGATTTCGATAATGTTTGATCCGGAAAATATTCTATGATCGTTTTGTGTTGATCTCAAAATGATTAAAATTATTTATGTTAACAAAGGGATACACATCCTTGTATCATTCTAGGCCTATTGGTCACAAAAAGTTTGGTCAGTGCGGGAAAGAGCTAAATGTTGGTATAAAAAATGATATGCCTTTACTTAGCCAAAACCGCGTCACACCGCCAAGATTTCATATAAAGCTCGGTGTAATCAAACAGTGTGGGAAAGCGCTTGAAAAAAGTGACGTATGTTTTAATCATATTTCACCCAAGTATATAAAATGGGAAAACATCAATGGCTAATGATTTTTTATAAGAAGCCTCTTTATTTAATGTCCGAAATGTACTCGAAGGGGTGGATATTCTCAGCCGAAGAGCTACCGCAAGTATATTTAAGAAAAATTGAGAGAATACCGTAAAATTGTTGAGCCACTGTGGTTAGGAGTAAAAGGTCCAATAGAAGTCCGATTACCATGACGAGCTTATGTAGGATGTAACGTGCTCGTAAAAATCCACTTTCTGCATTCGCCCTTTAACCGATTTCCACAGATCTGTTGCACCTCTTTAGCAGAGTGAAAGATTTCACAGGATCTACGGAGAATGTAAGAACGTTATCAGGGGCGGTGGGACTCACACATTCGATAGTGTTCAATGGAGTCTTCTAAATACTGTATCAATTTACTGTATTTTTTCGTAAAAATAATAAAAATTTATGGATCCAAAATTAAGCTATTAGCAATCTCTCAGCATTATTTTCATAATCAGACCCATAGAAATATTTAGTAAAAAAAAAGTGAAAGTAAACAAGACTCGTGTTGACCGGTGAAATATTAAGTTCTAGAGTAGAAAGGAAGAGCTGCAGAAATTTGTCTTGTCTTTTTTTCGAAGGATTATTTTCAAAGTTTTCTGTATTCTAATTTCTAATTTAACGATTTTTTTTAAATCCTCACTCAATTTTATATAAAAATTACAAAAACAAGTCGATTTACATATTTTTATAGGATTATTTCTAAAGTTGTGTGTTAATTTCAAAGTCGAAGACACAAAAGACATTTTGTACACTTTTGCTGATTTTTGATTTTAGATTTACATAAAAAAATGGTTAATTAAATTGTGTATTGAGCTTTTTTTCTTTAATTTTTTATATTTACATTTTTTTTGTCAAAGCTAGACGTTTTTTTTGTTTGTCTATAAAACACAACATTTTCTTAAATTTTCCCATCTAAAATTTTTTCATATTTATCTGGTATTTATTTAATTGATTTTATTTATTTATTTTATTTTTTAAACACAAATTTCGTGGAAAAAAATACCATTGCTCCGCCAAAGGAGACTTTATTAATAACAATAATAAATGCATATGTATTTTGTGTTTTTTTTATGGGTTCTACTGCAATATTAATACAAAATTAGCCAGAACCTAATACTTATGGAAGCATGGTTTCATTTTCTAAAAAAGTTGTTTAGAAAAAAAATTCTATAGACTGTCTAAAAGCTCCTGCAAAAAATTTTTGTCGCATAAAATTTTTGCATATTTTTGTTTGCCTTTGTATGTATGCATTTTCAATTAGCACATACGTAGATATTTACATATATAAATCTCTATTTTATATGTACAATTAATTTAATATATATATATATATATGTGTGTACATAAATCGTCCCTGCACAGGTATACAACCATAAATTTTATTGTTCTCGTGTTCTTCATTAATTTTCATTAATACAGCCATACAAATATATTTATGTATTCACCTACGTACGTGTATACATACATATATACATATGTGCTTACTTCATATGCATTTTCGTTTTCTCGACTGACCATTTCTTTTGAGTTCGTATGTACAATACATCGGACCAAGTACTCGTGGTTTAGCGGTGGCGCGCTTTCTGCTTGGCTTACGTTCAATTTGTCACATGCAAAATGCATTGCTGATGATTTCATTTCATTGGATTTTCTTTTTTAATTTTTGCTTTATTGCTTTGCACACTTTTGATTACAAAGTTCATCAATTTACTTAACTCATAATACATACATATATCAGATATGCATATGGTACATATATTATATATATATATATAGATGTGTACATATGTATGTACACAAATGCGAGTAAATTTCGCGCGCTTTTTTTAACGCAGCTATATTTGCAAGTCTTTATATTTATGTAGGTCAATTATGTTTGTCATTTCGTGGGTCTTCTGTGTAAATTTCTTGCCAATCAAAAAATTTACAAAGAACAAAAGTTATGTTAATATATACAGGGTTATCCGTAATGCAGTTTCGAAAACAAACGTATTAAAATGCATTTAAAATATATTTTTTTTCATGGAATTTCTTTTTTATTATAAAATTTGAACCTTAATTATATGTATGTGAAACACTATATCATTCAAATGACCATCTCGCGAAATTTTGGAAATTTCGATCCGTTTGAAATAATTTCGATCACTTCTTGGTACATAATAGACGGTGTTTTAGCCACTTCTTGGTACATATTAGACGTTGTCTTAGCTAAAACCGTCCGAATGCTGGGTTTCAAATGCTGTTGTGCGTGTAGCCCCACAATAAAACTGCCCAGCGGTGTTAAATCGCACGATTTCGGTGGACAATCGACATCGCCAAGATGAGAGATTAAGCAGCTTTGGCATGTTTAAACCACGTGTTCTTCAATCAGGCTATCAGACGACCAAAACGCTCCGAATTGAAAATGGCAGTCTCGACGTTGCGGATTTGAAAGACGTAAGGCCAATCACAGGAAGGTTCTTGGGTGTAATGCCTATCTCTTCTTTCACCGTGAGAAATGTGTCTCTTCACTAAAGAGGAATTTTGTACAAAAAATCGGACTTTTTATTCATGTAAATTCAAGTGCTAAATACACCATAATCTTCGGTAATATAGTAGATTCCCAGACTTTGAGAACGTCGAGAAATGGACACATTCGGGCCTTCAGCTACACTTTCAGTTACAGTGGAAATATTTGAGATGGAGCGAGCAGCATTGTCCTGCTGAAACCAAACATCTCTCACGACGTTCTCTTCAACAAGCATGGAACGGTAACGAACGGCATTGACGGTAACTGCATCACCTTCCTTGCCTGCTGAATCAATGATGCCTCCGATTGAAGATGCCTTTACCGTGCTTGGCTGCGGGTTTTTCTGACCCCCAAATGCGCCAGCCTTGCTTGTTAGCGTAGACTGCTTACCAGGGTCAAGCAGCAAAATTTTTCTTTAAACGCACTAGACAAACACATATTCAGTATTTCCAAATTTTCTTCAGCTCAAAATTAACCATTTCGTGAACCGTGTGATGAATATTGTCAACCCTTAAAGAAAAATATTTGACTGCAGGGAGTGATTATAACCTGACGTAATATTTTTGCAAACACTTTCGGACCTTTTTAATTAAACTTTTTAAACTACCAAATTTACAAACTCATTACGTTTCAAAGCATAGAAGTTGCTTGGGAACTCATAATACAAATAGTTAATACTAAAATATCTAGTTGCTGCCAACACACTGAAAAAGTTACGTATACGCAGTGCAATACCTTTTACGCTAGTAGAAATCATTAAAAATCATTTCAAACCATATATGGATTATATATGAAATGTTAATAGCATTTTGAACAACGAAAAAGGCATTTACTTATTTTCCGGGTAACCAAATTTACGGTTCAGAGTTTAGAAGTTCAAATTTGCATTAATAATTCTTCATTTCTTAAGTCAATAAAAAATTACAATAAAAAAAAATAAAAAACGAAAGGCACGCAACGCAATCATGTTTACAAATGTATATATATGTATATATACATATATACATGTTAGGCGCTTTATCAATGCCGCAGCGATTTCGGCCGCACATACACACATATACAATATATTTATTAATTGCTCAAACGTTTCTGCCTTTCTGCTTAATTAAGTTTAATTAAATTTAAATTTACAAACTCAGCATGAAAACGAGAACGAGAAAGCAGCAAACAATTGTGAGTACCCCTTAAGTCTACTCCAACACCACGCCATATCCACCACATACAACTACAAACAAAATACTGTTAAATTCTCATGGGCTATCTTAGAGATTGCGCGTTCATCTTTAAAAATAACAGCCTATACAGAGCATATAAAAACAAAAAAAGATAAAGATGAAAAATAAAAACAATGTTGAGAAAAGTATAATAGATCGAAATGTGAAAACAACTGTACGTAGGATAGCGAGATTGGTGGTGTAAGGAAAAACATTAAATGTATATGAGTATGAGAACATTGGTGAGAATTCTGCGAAAATCAAACAAATTATAAATTTACTATTGTATAAAAAATATATATTAAAAGTGTTTTGTGTGACTGTGTGTGAGTGTGTGTTTTGTGGGAGCAAATGTGCGCCGGAAAAGTGCGAACATCAGCACAAAAAACAATGTTTTTGTTTTTCTTATATTTATTTCTGCGAAATACATGAATTATGAAGTGATAAATTCTTAATTTGTTGAAAGTAAATTATAATTACGTACGGAAAGCTTTTATATTAAGCTGATAGGGTTAAATATTTACATGCATTTAGACCAAACAATTTTTTTTATATATAAACCGTTGAAATCTATTTCACAGGCTTAAAATATGGCTTTTTGTTATGCGACAGATACGGTCGGTTTTATAGTCTTCACAGGACGATTTACTTATGTATGCATAACACTGATACTCGTTTGTTTATTTATTGTATTAATTAGAATCTAATTTATTTTCCCATCTCCTCAAATTAATAATGTAAACTCTATTAACAAAAAATATTTGTGTTTCTTCTTTTTGCAGCTCGTTTCAATGGATGGCATACAGAGTGGTGTACCCACGTTGACTACGTCCACGTTAACGCCCACCACTTTACGCAGCATCGAAGAGACATTCATTCAGTTGACAACTGATCATTCAAATCCGCCCTGTCAAGCCGGCTTCATACCGCCACCCGTTACATCTATACCAAATTCCGATAGTCCAGTATTTAGCGGCGCCTTACAAAGCTACAACGAACTCGATATGGATGATTCACAAGCGTCCTGGAATTCACAATATCATGAGGATAATTCACAGGCGACATCAGATAATTGTAAGTGCCCTACACACATATCTTTTCAGAGCAAAACTAAACCAATTTACTTTAAATTTTTATATAGCAAGCGCCTCATTTCCGAATGGCCTCAATGGTACTAGCAACGCTTCACTCGCTACCTCAACTACATCGTCCAAAAATGATTTTACCTTACTACAAAACGCCATCGCAGCAGACGCTGGCAAACTTGCCGGCAATCTCTTGCTCACCACATCGCCGAACAGCAGCAGCAACGCCCATACCTCAAACAGTGCCACAAATACCACTTTAAATACAACACCTGTACCGACGCGTCGCAATCAAGGCGGTCGTCGTCCAGCCAAATCGACCAATATGTCACCCGAAGAGGAGGAGAAACGACGCATACGTCGTGAACGTAACAAATTGGCGGCAGCGCGTTGCCGCAAACGTCGTGTCGATCAAACAAATGAATTGCAAACAGAAGTCGATCGATTGGAGGGCATACGAGAGTCATTGCAGAAGGAGATTGAGGATCTTAAGGTGATGAAAAATGGTTTGACATTCGCATTGGAAGCGCATCGACCTACCTGCCAGAAGGTACGTCAAGATCTTTTGAGTGTACACACCTACGATGGTCTAATCGCGCCGACGAATGGTAACAGCAATGACAGTAATAGCAATATTATTGGCGTTGACACAACATTGTCCTCGGTGGGACGTAGTGGCTCGCCTATTGATTTCAAGCCCATCATATTGGACATGGAGCCACACATAAAAGATGAACCTTTAGATAGTACACTCGACTCGAATTCATCATTGGATCACGATGGACCACCATCACCTAAACGTATGCTACTCACGCACAACAATCCAATGGTACAAACACCATTGCCAAATGTTTCCACTTTGTCCGCCTCATTGGCTGCTGCATCGGCATCACTGAATACACCCATTGTGACGGCGGCACCGGTCAGTTTCGCCAATCTTGTTACCGGCACCAGTATTGCCCACAATATCAACAACAACAACAACAACAACAACACTATCATCAATAATATAACAAACAATATTGTGATCAATAGCGGCGCCACCATCACAGGAAATTTAATTGCGCCAAATCGTCCATTGTTGAGCGGTAGCAAGCAGCGACCCAACTCACTGCCCACAAACCTACGTAATCAGGCGCTCGCCTTAAGCACTGAACGTCCGCCAACCGATATAAATGGTGTTGCCATACAAACACCATCAACGGGCATGTTCAACTTTGACTCACTGATGGATGGTGGCACCGGCTTGACACCGGTCTCAGGTCCACTAGTGCCAAATTGTTCAACGCAAAACAAACATCCCTTGGAAATCCAAACACCCACAAGTGAGCCATCCAAATTGGTTAGCTTATAACAATAAAAATTGAGGAGAAGAGACCGGTGCAAGCTGGCGAGTGGTTAAAGCGAAGTGGTCGTTTATTACTAGGTAGTAAGAAGTCACGTCGCACCAATAGAAGTTTGACAAATTTTTCAAGAGTATTGTGGTATTGTGCTGCCGGTGGAGGGCGATATCGTGCAGGAAAAGAGGAAACTAAAAACACTAAGATTTATGCTTTAAAATGTATTCAATACAAACGTAGCGTGGGCGGCTGGAGCGGCCGTAACGGTGCGGTTATCTACCAACCTAAGACGTAACAATGAATGGGAAACCGTTGCAAATATGTAATAAACTATATATATATTATATTATATGTATGTACATAAATATGTATGTTTATGGCATGCATATATAGCGAATGTTTTTTTAAAAGCGATTTTTTCTTAATTTAAAAAATCAAATGTCTTTTTTATATACATACATATATGAAACTTGTGTGCATAAACGAATAATTTTAAGATTTAAAAGCAAGTCATTAACTTGGCTTACATATACATGTGTATGTATAAAATGTTAAGTTCTTTTTGTACTTTGTTCATACATATTGACAGGAGAATATTGTTTTTTTAGTAAACTTATTTTCAATTTAGTTAAAACAAAAGGAGCAGAGCGAGATGGCACACTCGCAATGATTAGTGGCGAAGCGTAGAGTGGAATAAGTAATAGTTGATAATTATTGTATTATTAAATTAAAAAATATATGTTGGAATCACAAAAATTGTATTTTCCATGTTTATGTTTATTTCATGTATGTACATATGTACATATTTATTTTAGTAAAAAAAATGCCAATTATATTTTTATTTCATTTCTTTGTATATTATCTATTTCACAAACTTTATATGCCGTTATGATAAATTTAAGCAGAAAATGATCAACGTTGTATTTTTATTTAAAAAAAATTTTGACTAAACAAAAAGCTTTTACTTAAATTTGAATTTTTTTTTTTTGTAATTTTTTCGTTTTATATAATATATATGTAATGTTCAACTAAAGGAATTGTGTTTAACGACATTAAGAAGGCGTTGTGATATTTTTAATAAAGATGAAAAAAGATATAAAAATAAAAAATCTTAAAATATAAAAAAAAAATCGTATATAAGTACGTAGCATGCAATTTATAAAATGTAATGCATTGTTTCGAAGTCATTGAACTTTTTTCTTTTTTTTTTGTAATAAATGTTAGCAAACAAAAAATACTTACAATACAATGAAATTGGCGTAAAAAGTAAGAAGAAAAATTAAGATAATCAGTATAAACCGAACAATTGGAAATGGCCTTGAAATGTATGTATCTAAGTGTAGCAAAAAAAAAAAAAACATATAAAATGTATACTTTTGATATATTGATACATACATACATACTATCTGTATGTATTTGTATAATTATATGCGCTTTATGGAAATTAATAATTAGCAATAAATAAATATTATTAAAAGCAAAAAAAAAAGAAAATATTGTTATTTAAATGCACTACGCACAGTGAATATTGATTGAAAAGTAAAATACAAAATTTAAACTCAAAATTAAAAACACAAAAACGTCTCAACATAGAATTGTAAAATGTATTTTGTGTTTGCTAAATCATGCTTAAAAACTCTTTATAAACCATAAAAAAAATAATTTTTACGCAAAGCAATTAGGGAATCCTGCTACTCACGAATAATATCATTTTCATTCTTCTAAGTATTTGCCTTATAAATCAGTTAAATAAAATGCTTTTTTCGAATGTCTAACATTCACGAATGTGTTTTTAAATATTTGCCTTTTAGTTATCATTTTCCTTTATATAATACACAATACACTACAATTATGAATACATACATACAAAACAACTCAAAAGCAATTTACATATTTTTGTAACAGCGTATAAAAGTCAAATAGTTAAAATGTCTAACTAAACAAAGAAATTTAAAATAAAAAATAAAAAATATTGAAAATATTTATATGTACATATGCATATGTGAGTATGTATGTAGGTATGATTTTTGCTTATCATATGCACACATACTATACAAACATATGCATACATACATACATATATGTACATAAAAAGTGTGCATTAAATTATGTTGAAGAAAATACGTAAGACACGCAGAAGCGACGAATCAAACGGTTTATAATCGAAATGTGAAAAAATCATAGTTTTATGTGCTTATACTATATATGTATGTAAAAATATATGTATGTGAATGCAACATCTATGCGCACTGAAAACTTGGTATTTATGTTTGTCAAAAATACATACATACATAATAAATATTTAATGAGCTGAGGGCGAATTTTTGCAATAATTAAACTTTAAGACAACACCAAATTGAAAGAAACTAAGAATAAAGAAAAAAACTAAATAAATAAGTAAAAGAAAAAACTGAAAACTAAAAAGTATACAATGTGTTTTAACTAGTTTTTAGCACACTTAAGCAAGCCAACCAAGTGAGAGGAGGAGGGAAAGACTTTTGAAAGAAGGTGCTAGTGCTCAAACTGCACTGGAACGCCAATTAAAATACTCCAGGAACTTGATCGTGTTTTTCTTCGCAAAAAAAAACAATCTAGAACGATAAATTTCATGTCTAGCGAAAAGTTTCTATCGTTTCAGTTGTAACATTTGGAAATATTCCCGTTAAAGCAGTTATCAAAATACATTTTATTCCATTTTTACCCTTAACCATAATGTTAAATCGTTAACAGATAATGTTAAATAGTTGAGAAATAATGTTAAATCGTTAACATATAAAGTTAAATGTTAACAGATAATGTTAAATCATTAACTGCAAATGTTAAACATTAAAATGGAAATGTACTGTTAATATTACTGCAAGCAGCCATGTTAAAATCAACGTGAACGATTTCATTTCGTTTTGTTAATTTTGGTCTATGACATAAAGTCGTTTTTCCCCTTCATGTTATTCTCTGGCCCGGCTGGTTCAACAAGAAAGAGAGACCTGTGAAGTTGACTCCCGCCCGGGGCGCGCAGTGACGGTCGTGGCCGAAGAAAATATTTAGAAACTACTGGCAGATCGAAGATTTAAGTTCTGGCAGATAGAAGAACGATTACAGATTAGCAAGGATCGAGCAGGGAACATTTTGCATGAATATGAAAAAATATGACCTTTCTGTGACTTGCATAAAGTTGAGCTTTACTGCCGACTCTTTGAAGCCCGTTGCGAGTTGCAAATAACAAATGACTACTATGTCCGACTCCAACAGAGTTCATTTTCGGCATTCTGTATAACAATTTGTTCGCTTTATTAATATTTTCGTTCTCTCATATCTATCCTCATATCTATCCATCTGGCGTTAGGGCATCAAATATGAAGGTCTGCGACGGTGCATCTTCTGTTATATACAACACACAATCTCTGCCTGGAAGACAGAGTTGAATCTACTGAGTTAGTTTCGTTATTGGGTTTGTCATAAAAGGACGCTGTTCATGTTCCCTGCTCGTACTCGTATGTGTGCGGTCCTTTTGCACGGGTAATTTTCAATATTGGTTTGGCCATGTTTGAAGCCACTCTGATAAGGTCTTTCACGATATTTATGAGACTATTCCACTAAGTATACTGTGGTTGCAATCGTCAGGCATGCTTTCGTTCAACCTTATTCTGCAAATAAGCTGATTTATTCGCTTTGTCAGTTCTGCGCCGCTGTATTGTTCTTATTCGCCTGATGCGAGGATGGCACATGAGTCTTTGTTAAGAAAGATATCATCGCACATCTTACTCCCAGTGAACAATAACTTTGCAGCTGTTCTAGAGGTTTAACATAGACTTTCTTCTACAATAGTCACAAAGTTCAAGAGAGCATTAAAATATAATTTTTAAGCCCCCTTGATCTGCGAATCGCTCAACAACAGAGGAAGTGCTCTAACGACTTCCTCCCTGCACTGTTTTGTGCATGTGGCCTAGCTTCGTACAATAGACTCCAGTGCCATTTTTGATCCTTCCTTCCTCCTTAAACATAGATTGAAATCATCTACCCCAGATAAATCGTGAGAACATGCAATATGTAATATTTTATCTTATATTTCCATGCGTATTCGGTGCAGTGCTTTTGCCGGTTGGTGGTAAGTCAAGTAACTTTACAAGTACCGGCGTTGGAGTGAATCTTAGCGCTCCTGTTATAAGCCGTGCAGCGAACCGCTGTAATTGCTCTAATGGCTTATCATACGAGATTTTGTTTGGTAACAATCCGTCGCACCATAGCAATATCGGCTTAACTAACGATGTGGAAACGAGGGGATAGACCTCATGTGACATCTAGCATCTTCTTACGTAAGTAAAGTGCACCACTGGCCTTTTTGAGGATTTTCTCTACACTTAGCTTCAACATTAGCTTGCTGTCCAAAATTACTCTCAGGCTCCAAGTGTAATTCTTAATTCTTGATTGTTAGGACCACCACTTCAGCCTAGGGGCTTCCACGGCTGCTCTCTGAGAGCACTGCTCAGCAACTCGATAAGGACGGAACTATGGGACGGAGTTTCAAGCTCCATACGGGGAATCTAAGTGCACTCTGCCTAATCCACAAAAAGGGCGATCCTACAGTCTGTGCCAATTACCGTGATATAAGCGTTCTTAATATCGCATATCGGGCGTATAGTGAGAAAGACTAAAGCTTACCGTCAAACAATCTGATTGGACCTTATAAATGTAGATTTAGACCAGGTAAATCAACCATTGGTCAGATATTCACCATGCACCAAGTCTTGGACCTCCTCGTCGATTTTAAAGCTGCTGTCGAAAAGCACAAAAGGAGCAGTCAGCCTAGAAAACCCAAAGTATCACTTTTTCCAACAGCTGCTACTTTGGACTGAGTAGACAATTGAAAAGCAAAGTCTTCTCTAAACGAACACCAAACTCTGCGAATCCCTCAGCCGGTGGAACGATGAGCTGTATGAGCTATACGACGACATTGACATAGTTTAGCGAATCAGAAAACATCAGCAGCGCCGACTAATATATGTGGTACGTATAGCTAAGAATATTCCAGCTTTGAAAGTTTTTGTTGCAGTACCCGCCGGTCGAAGCAGAGGAAGAGGAAGACCTCTCTTCGTTCGCAAAGACCAAATAGAGAAAAGCCTGACTGAACTTGTTATTCCCAATTGGCGTCAAGCGGGAGAACTAACTCGTCTATAATCGGGTAAGTGCTGTCTACGCCAATAAGAGGCAGTTAAGTTGTTAAAGTATTTCTTGATTTTATTTATTTTTGGTGTGAATGATTTAAATGTATGCGTGTATTTGTACTCAAAAGAAAAAGATTCTATTTATTTTAACAATTTTTGTTTATTGTTAATTTTAGGACTTTATTGTTGTAATGAAATATTTGAAATGTTAAATAAGGTATATCTGAGTTGTTAAATTATTTATTTCAACAAATCAAGTACAAATGTACTCATACATTTAAATATTTTACGCACAAAATAAATGCAAATTCTTATATACAAACATATGTATGTGGACATACATATAATACATCATCTGCCGCATTTTTATTTTTTATTTTTTTTTTATTTTGTTTTTTAACGAACTGCGGAATTTGCACTTTTTACATATAATCGACGTTTATTGGAATTTCCTTTTCGTTTGTGAATCAGTTGTATTCGGGAAGTGTTGAAGATCACAAGCGCAGTAGCACAGAAACGAGTTTGGAGTTGGAGTTTGGTGAACAAAAACGGAAAAGTTGCAGAGCAAGCAGTTTAGTGAAGCAAACCAAACGAAAATTGAATTTCGAAGCCTATTTACATATGTGGAGATCTTCTATAGGGTAGACAAACTTTAAGGTTTTCAAACAAATCGAAAATGACTTCACTTTGGTATACTCTCATTAAAACAATCGGTTATGGCGGTAAAAAACTGAAGATGACACCGAAAAATGTTATACTTATCACCGGTTGTGATTCTGGATTAGGGTGAGTGCTTATGCCTAATTCATTATATAATAGTGGTGCCAAAAATCCCTTTCGGATAGTTAAAAAATCCACAAATTCCACAAATCTTCCCAGAATATACATACATAGGCCACAATTTCGTTGTTTTTTTTTGTTTTGGAAAATAATAATATGTTTTCATATATTAATTTGAGCGGTTGAGGTGAATTTTTAATTTGAGCTTCGCGCGTTTTATATTTCGGGTTAATTCTCTTTTCGTAATGTCGGTAGCACTGTTGTCGACATCTAACGACTAAAAGTGTCTTCGCACAGCACAGCACTCATTCTTCGTGACCATTTCGCTAAAAAATTCCACGCATATCGTTCCCCAACCACCGTATTCGCCGGACTTACCCCTGGCTCTTCCAAAAACTCAGGAGACCACTTCAAGGACATCGCTTTGAGTCGATTGAGGAGATTAAACGAGAATCGGCGCACTCGCTGAAGGTCATACCAGAACGAGACTATTTGACATGCTTTGATAAACGATGATTAAGCGTTGGCATAAGTGCCTTGCAACGGCAGGGAACTATTTTGAAGGCGACGAAATCGATGTAGAAGAAGAAATGAAGATTTTTTATTTTACAAAAAAATTCATCTTACTTTTTGCTCACAGGTACATAAGGAAACTGCCTTTGTTTCTAGATATGGAGACAATTCTAGTATGCAGCAATATCTGTAGACCGTTACAAAGTTTTAACCGCAAAAGTTTAAAAAGAATTGTATGGGGTTATTCATTTCGTGATTTCAAAGTATTTTGATATCTGTCAGAATTAATTGTCAAACCAAACATGTTTTGTTTGAGTCAAAAGTCGTGCAATTATAAAATCGGATCCCGTGGTCACGCTTCGTGCTTTAGGATACGATTATCGATCATATAACTTTTCAAGAAGTTGATAAAATTTAAAAGAAATTTTAAGAGACTGGATTGGTTACATATATTGTAAGCCCTGCGCTGAATGTGGAAATCCAACCGATTGGAGCGATTGGCGAGGTTATCACTGTCGATTCGGAGAATTATGGTCGTATGGTAACCGACTTTTCTTCAACTGAGGAAAACTACCCAAGTATACGTGGTTTCAACAAGATGGTGCCACATTCCACACGCAGGAATATGACTTTATTGCGATAGAAATTTTCCAGCCGCGTAATCTCTCGTCTTGACGATGTCAATTGGCCACCGAGATCATGCGATTTTACACCGCTGGATCTTTGCGCAATATCAATGGAACACCGACATTCGTCAAGATGAGTCGCCGCCCAACATATACAAAAAAGTGGTAATAATGGACTTCATCAGTCAATATGATTTTTCGATGAAATTTTTACAGTAAATTATAATGATTTCATTGCATTGTTGCGTGTATCTTTCGGTTTTTAATACTGGCGTAGGTTTTACTCGTGAAATGACTAAAAATAACAGCTTCAAAAGTGACGTCTGCCGGAATAGCGGGTTATGCCGTACAGCTCCTCTTATTGGAAAGTCCTCAAAAAAGGAATTTCATGAAAAAAATTTAAATGCACTTGATTTACGTTCATTATCGAAAAAGCAAAATGAGTAACCCTGTATCTAAAAATAAACTACTTCTTTTTCTGATTTCCTCGGAAGTAAAATTCCATATTTAAAAATTATGATGGCAGAATTTTTTAATATGATTTGTTTATATATTTGAGAACAAGGCTGCGTAACGTCAACGTTAAGCGAAGAAATTCCGGATGAAACATAAGAAAATATTAACGTTGAAGCCGTTATCAAAACAATTTTATTTTCAATTTTACCCTAAACGAAAAACTATCGTTAATGTTAAATCATTAACAGCAAATGTTAGACGTTAAAATTGAAGTATTCTGTTAAATTACAGAGCGCAGCCATTTTAAAATTAACGTAAACGATTTCATTTCGTTTTGATAGCATGGCGCCGAAACGAAACTATTTCATTTTGCTGAGTTAATATTTCTTGTAAGCACAAACAACAAATAGGCTATTTATTCACATTCCTTTCCTTTTGAAAACCAGCTATTCCTTAGCCATGTACTGCCATTCCTTAAATATGACTGTGATATCGGCCTGCCATAATGTAAATTCTGACGGTGCACGCCTACTACGTGAATTGGACGATTCTAAACGTATGCTCACAATCGAAGTGGATCTGCTGAAGGTGGAGACAATCACGCATGCCTATCAATATCTAACCGATATGCTTCACACCAATAATGAATATCAATTAACGGCTCTGGTCAATAACGCTGGTGTTATGTGTTTTGGTGAATTCGAATGGCAAACTGAGGATCAATTTGAAATGCAAATAAATGTAAATGTTTTGGGTACAATGCGGCTTACTAAGCAGCTGCTGCCGTTGCTGCGACATCATCGTGGGCGTATAATCAACATTACCAGTCATTGCGGTCTGCAGGTGAGGATACACAAAAAACCAAATGTACATACATATACATTTGCAGCTTAGAAATGTTAGGAAAACATTAGTTAAATTGAATTTTACATATAAACATTGTTTCTTCTTATCTAGGCTCTTCCTGCTTTAAGTCCATATGCTGCTTCGAAAGCAGCTTTACGTTTCTGGAATGATTCATTGCGCATGGAAATGAGACAATATGGCGTAGAGGTGATCAATTTCGTACCGGGCTCATTTGTTCAATACAGCAATATATCGGCGAGGCAGCAAGATCATGCAAAAGCAATGTTAGATGCGTTTAATGATGAGCAGCGACAATTTTACGGCGACTATTTCAAGCAATTCAACAATTATTTGACAGTCATTTCGGGATTCAAGCCACCGAATCAATTTTATGATACTTCTTTATTGAGAAAATTTAATAATGCCTTAACTAGTAGTGTTCCTCAAACAATGTACATACACGAACCGTGGCGGTAAGTATTGAAATAAATTTACTATGCCTCCCATCCTTCTTAAAACCTTAATTGGCATACACTTCAATATACATACATTTAAATTACTTGACCTTTATCTTTACAGCTATAAAGTATACCGCTTTCTATTCTGCATATGCCCTGCATCCATAGTGGATCTTCTAACTGTACGATTTTGTGCAATGCCAACATATCAGCAAGTTATGGCTTTATTGAAACGGTAGAAGAAAAATTTTTTTTAATTCATACATATATATTTATTACTATTTAATAGATTGTTAATATTTGCGTGTTTTTCTTTCGATTACGTTACATTTTTTTAAATAAACTTTTATAAATATTAAGAAAGTATAGAAATTCCAACATAAGTGTATTTGTCTAACTTGACTATTTTGCAGTAATTTCAACACACGAAGGTGATAAGATTTTTTCATATCAATTGCTCAATTGCATAAATTGCACGGAAATAATTAGCATTAACACAATCATCAATAAACAAATATTTGCACACATTTAATAGTAATTATAATTTTATTTATATAAAATGGGTTACCAGTTTTTATTGAATTACTTGGTATTAATCTTCTCTGATATTATATCAGTTATCATCGATTCGCAATCGCATTAATAATAAAACTTCATGATTTGTTTTTATTAGTCGTAATGCAAATTTTGTTTTTGGTTAGGGTTGGGATCATTCCAACTGTCGTCGAGTGCATCATTGTCACCACCGCGACCAAAATGTGCCATTAAATAGAGAAATGCCAAAAATGTCAGAGCGCCGCAAAATATCATAAACCAATTACGCCGCCAAGGTGGGCGCGAAGAGGGCGCATAGAATCGACGCGACCAGCGTGAAAAAATCTCTGAAGGCGTACGACGTTTGTACTTGTTTTCGTCGCGATCAGTGCCACCAATTGGTGACTGACGTGGTAATAGAGGTCGTCTACTGCTTGCTAATTAAGAAGAAACGAAAAGTTAAATAGAGAACTTCACTATCAAATCCAGCTGACAAACCATGAACATCACTTTCCGTTGGAGGACTAAAGGTATCCATTAGGAGTACAGAATGTGGACTGTCATGACGCATGGTTTGTGTTGAGAAAACTCCATTTGCTTTTGAACGATCAATATTATTGGAATGATGCACCTTTGTCATATTACTCACTGCCGATGTGTGTGCAGAAGATACTGCGGTATTGGTTAAGCTGTGAGCTTTCGCTTTTGCACTTGTGACTGACTGATCAGCAGGCAACTAGGTGAATAGAGAATTTTATTGTAAATATTTGTGTGAGTTATATTTTTAAATGAACGCGAGTTTTTACCAAAGAAAGACCTAGACCGTTACGCCCCCAGTTTACTTGTGACAAGTAGGCTTTCAAAGCATCCGCTACAGGCGAAACCAAATTCATATTTGGAAATATCTCGGTATCGCATATTGGGCATTGGTGTCCACGTGGCGCAGTATTGGCTGGCAATGAAGATTGCCGAGCATTCAAGCAATCCCAATGGAATACATCTGGAAATATAGTAATATACAATTTTTTAACTAAATGTAACCAAGCCTTTTCATTTACATGATACATACGGTAACATACTAAACGTACACATTCACCTTGCTCCAGTGTCATCGAACACAACGTACAATTGGCAACATAATCACTGTCACGCAACCATTGCAAATATGATTGAACAATACACTGACAAAGGAGAAAATTTAATTAACAGTTGAATTTCTTGCAACTTTCGAATAGTTATACCTTTGGGTGATTTTGCACCATACAATTCTCACATACGTTGACCCGATGTTCAAAACAGAACTGATTCGTCACCTGCCGTTTAGGGCACTTGCAAAGACCCATTTTTCTGTTTGTACAGTGAGCTGCACCTAAGCAAACCAATTAAAGATTCGTTTTCAGGCTTCGAATATACTCGTAATTTCAGCACCACTGAATTGAAAGTATACTCAAAAAACTTTGTTTCCCTTTTTAATTATTTGCCAGCAAAAATTACATATTTTTTATTGTTTCTTCGTATTATCTATTTTACTCTATGTGTTTAATTTGACGTTTGCTTTGTCAGCTGTGGCCACGTCTAAATTCAAATAATAGGGTAAGTGGACATAATATGAAGACCATTTTTCATTTGTAGTTTTAACCACAATTTAACCAAAATTATCACTTATCAAATAAATTTCGTTTTTGACAAATTTTTTTTTAAATGCATAGCCTTCTTATGAATTCGTCTTGATGAATATATTTTACTTTGTGAATTTTTTATTAGTTGATAGAAAAAAGTAACACATTTTATGGAGTCTTATTTTATTAGACTTAAATTTATTTAAATATACATTAGCATTAGTTTTAAATTTTAGTCCAGCCAATCAGTCATATAAACACATTTATTTGGTGTTACATCACCACATTTAGAACAATTCCTTATTACGGGGCATATGCCACAAGGCATTTGAACAAGACCAGGTGCTGCCAATGGCGAGTTAACCGCACGATAAACATATGAACCGTCAGGCATCATTATGCGCTCCGCACTGCCATCGTAAACGACGGTTTTAAGGATTGTTTCCAGATCATCTTCATCCAAATGTACCTGATATTATTAGTTAAGTTCTCGAATTATTAAATGAATTATGAGAAATGTATACTTTAAAATTTCTTCATACCTTACTTATACCCAAATCTGATATGAATTTGTGAACTTCCTTGACAGTACAACACGAAAGTCTTTTGAGTGCCAAAGGTCCTTCGCGCTTCTTTTCGGCATTTTCACGTGTCAACTGCAGAAATCTCAAACATTGCTGGTTAAGAACATCCACAAATTCAGCTTCAAAGTCTTGATCTTGGTACCAGGCACCGCCTGTTACTGAACGATCTGGTTCTAAATTATACAGCATATATACTTTCTTTTTACTAGCCTACAGGGAAAGAACTATTGGCGTTAACATCTCAAGAACATCTTTTTTTTTAAACTTACATTAACCGATTTTACTGCTTTGATGAGTTTTTTTGTCTCGAGATTTTTTAAAATTTTATTTAACTGTGTCATATTAAGATTCGACTGCAAACGTATGTCACGTATCCAAATGCCTTTATTGCCGCCTTCTTCAATTATACCATATATGATCTTTTCCTCATTATCGGCATCTTTGGGTAATGCACTCTTCTTCGGATCTTTTGCACGATATATGAGTTTATCGCCCTTTTTCAGCAATTCGATAGTGCCCTGCTGCAACAACTTATTCAAGCCTTCGAGGCGAGCTTGAGCCGGCACATCCGGCAGCCCTTTTACAAGATCGTCATTTGTAGCGCCAGCTGGAACTCCCTGAATTATTGCTAATATTTCGTGCGAGATGTCGTTGGCAGCCATATTTTTAAATCTATAGTTTTTTCTTTCAGGCTTAGCTCCCTTACCCTATAAAAATTATAAAACTCAAACAAAAGCAAATGTCATACAAAGCAAAGCAGAAAAATGTACAAAAACTAATTTACACGCTGAAACTTAGCAAAATATCTATTTACAGAACAATTCAGATTTGATTTAATCACGAAAATGTCAGTTACCTGCGAATATTCTTCCGATGATGAAGATTTTAAAAGAATAACCGAGACAAATTTTCAGAAAATACGCAATAAATCTGCGAAAGTAAGTTCACTCGCAAACACCCCGTGAATATCACAAAATTATAGAATTGACAATGCGGCGACATAATGCTGCCATATCGCTTTTCTATTATTTATCTTTTTTTTCTGTAGATTGGCTACGCCGACGGTGTATCAGTTGGACAGGAAGAAACTTTTCAAACTGCTTTTGACAAAGGATATGCGGATGGTTTACGCACTGGTTTTGAGATAGAGAAATATAAATCATTTGCCTTGAACTTAAATGGCGAAAAGGATAATGATTTGCAAACTGAAAAATCTTTATTTGAGAAGATGTCATTGCCATCAACCAGAGATGCTAGCCATTGTCACTTTACTGAACATATCAATGAACCCCTAAATACGATTTCCAAACATCAAAACCATTATGTAGAAGATTTTTTATGTCAGTGCCAACAAGCACTGCCACTAACTACTAATTTATTAGCGTCGCAAAAAGTAGAGTAGAAGCTATGATTTAATAGAAATAAACAGTTTTTATAAATACAATCCCTCGACTGTGCCTTCCTTTTTACGATACAAAACACTCTCTTTCGATTTTTTGAAGTCTTCATTTGTAACTTTCATACGTCGCTCACGTAGCGCCATCAAACCGGCCTCAGTACAGATAGCCTTGATATCTGCTCCGGACAAATCATCCTTGGCCATAATTAGTTCGTTAAGGTTCACATCTTCTGCTAAAGTCATGCGGGATGTGTGAATCGTAAAAATGCGACGCTTCGTTTTCTCATCCGGAAGTGGAAATTCAATTTTACGATCAATACGTCCGGGACGAATAAGTGCGGGATCCAAAGTTTCAATGCGGTTGGTTGCCATTATAACCTATAAATAACCGTACTTTATATTATATACATCTCACTAAAAAACCAGACAAATTTATTACCTTGACGTCACCCCGTGAATCGAAACCATCAAGCTGATTGAGCAATTCCAACATAGTTCGCTGAATTTCTCTTTCGCCGCCAGAGTTCGAGTCGTAACGTTTTGTACCCACAGCATCAATTTCATCGATGAAAACAATAGAAGGAGCATGCTCTTCAGCAACGCGAAACAGTTCGCGCACTAATTTGGGGCCATCTCCAAGATACTTCTGAATTAATTCAGAGCCAACAACGCGGAGGAAGGTAGCAGATGTTTGGTTTGCGACCGCTTTGGCAAGTAATGTCTTACCTGTACCCGGTGGGCCATAAAGAATTACACCTTTTGGCGGTTTAATACCCATTTCTTCATAATACTCAGGATGGGTTAGCGGTAATTCGACGGATTCTTTAATTTCCTGTATTTGTGTGTCCAGTCCACCAATATCGGCATAAGTTTCCTGAGGCGCTTTTTCAAGTTTCATCACTGTGACCATTGGATCTGTATCGTCACTAAGAACACCTACTACAGCATGAACTTTATGATTTAGCAAAACTGAGCAGCCTGGTTCCAATTGGTCCTTATCAACAAAGGACAAAATGCTAACATAATGTTCTGAGCCTACCGATGTTGAAACGATAGCGTGATTATCATCGATGATTTCTTCCAGATTTCCCACCGACATCGGTGTTCCGCGAAGATCATCAACCTTCGAACGTTCTTCTTCGTTTTTCTCGTCTTGTGGTTTAAGACGTTCTTGATTGCGTATAAATTCATCTTCCATCATAAGGTAATCTTTGATTCGCTCCAATTTCAGAAGTTTTAGACGACATCTAGTATGCGGAGTTACTTGTGGTAATTTCATAGCGGCATCAGGACCCTTTGCACGTCGCTTTTTTTTGCCCACTCGTGTGGGAATTGGAGGTTCATACTTCTTTTTCTTGTCTTTGTCATCTTTTTTATCGCCTGAGCCGCCTTGGGCAGATTGGTTTTGTCCCTAATAATGTTAATACTTTATCAGTTTCAATGTAATAATTTTATGGAATTTATTGTAAATAAAATACTATAAAACGTACCATATTTTTATTTAATTGTTACTTTTACAAAATTACCAATAAATCTCAAATTATTCTGAACCCAAAAACTGACAAACAATTTTCACTAGTCACTTTAAGCTTACTTGAAATTAGCTGCGGTTGACGGACGGATTATTTTCAGTTGTACTGTACTAAATATTTCACGGTAAAATTTTTTATTTTCAATTTAATTCAATGTAAGTCTTATTTATGTATGTAATTCATAAATCTTTTCCAAGAAAAAAAATAACTTTATAACAATTTTGTTTAAAAAAATTATTTGCTTTGAAATGGATTAATGAATTAAGATTTCGCTAACAAAGTTTCGAACGCATCTCAAAATGTCAAATGTGGACAGATTTCAGAGATTTCAGATTTGACGGTTTGACAGATGTCAAAGGGGAAATCTTTTTTTCTGCATACGCATACAAAGATGGTTTTGCTGGACAATTCCTCGGTTGGTATCAAAACATAAAAATTAATTTAACTGTAAAATACAAATTACATTTAATTTTCTTATAGTTCATAATCCGATTGGAGAAGTTCGCAAATGCTGCGAAGAAAGACTCGTCTTTCTCTGTGACATTCAAACGTTGTATGTATTGAAGTTCTTGGCAATATATCGCATTGACTTAATCCTAAATCCTTTCCCTGCAATCCACAGATAATGGGCACGATAAACCCAAACCAAGGGAAGGACGGCCGGCTTTACCCGAACCAGAAACGTATATGTGTCTTATGAGAGCACAGACGAAGTCAAAGAAGGTATGGGCCATATTAGCATACATCCAAACATGTACACGTTTATTACTAAGCGAGCTAATGCAAATGTTTGTCGTTTGTAGATTTCCACAATTGTGCGTCAAGAAGATGTTCCCAAAATGATGAATATGTATGCGCAGTTCATGAAGAGCAATATGGATGGTTTAAAACGCGTCAAGAAAGTGAAAAGCAAAGCGAAGGCTGCCAAGGGATAAACAAAGTTTTAAGACCATTTTTAGGTTCTAATTAGTCTATAACCTTCTTATTTGTTTATAAATAGTATGACAAACTGAATTATTGCATTTAGAAAGCAGTAATTATTAAAAACAGCTGCAGTTTTCTAGCTTGTAGTCCACTAATATGAAAGGAATACTAAACCAATAACAAAACAAAATAATTTTTGTAATTGAAATGAAAATGTAAAATGAAAACGAGAATATATTTGCACACCGAACATTAAGCTTACATGTAATCAGACTAATTAAAATATGTAGTGAAAATTTATTTTAATTAAAAATACGATTGCGAATTCTAATATTGCTATAAATACAAGATCTGATCGAACATTTGTATATTGATATCTAGAATACGTATGAAAACGCTTTCAACAAGATGGGGTTTAATCCTTCTTTGTTATTAAGCCTTGTTTCTTTAATTGACGCAGTGCACATTTAGCGGCTGTGCATTTCGCTATACGGTAGTTACGGCCAATACCACGGAATGTACCTTTACAGAACACTTCAACGGTCACACGCACTCGTCTTCCGTCAGCCAGTTTCTCCGGTTTTCTAAAAAAAAAAAATAAGGATTGTAAATAGTTAATTTTTTTCTCATGATATTTTAGACTTTATTCTCACCCGAATTTGGCAGTTTCTGGCTCTAGTTCGAGCAGTTCTCTTATTGGCGATTTTGGCACTGAATTGCTAAATTGTTCTATCTCCGGTTTCATCATATTACTATACACCTGCCACACAACGTCCAATGACATATTCGAATCGAGGAATATGGCACCGGCAATTGACTCAAATACATCACCCAAAGCTTTAGGCACTTCAACATCTTCCGCATCATCACACTCTTCTTCCGAAAGCAGATAATACTATAAAAAAACGGTAATATTTAAGTTTCAAATACGCTCAACTACTTGTAAATAATCTTACTTCTTCACTAATACTGTGACCATTTTCATTTTGTATACGCACAAAACGGTCGATAACTTCATTAAGACCAGGCGAAAGATGACGGAAATATTTGTGGAAGCCATGGCGTACAGCTAACGATGCAAATATGGTGTTATTTACTAATGCTGAACGTAAATCTGTCAGCGCACCAGGCGAATGTTGTCTAGGGTCTTCGTAAAGGTGTCGTGTTATTAAATAATCAAGCACTGCATCGCCCAGGAACTCTAACCTTTGATAGCAATCAGTCAAGCGATTCGGTGAATAGCTGGCATGAGTCATGGCCTGCAGCAGGTAGGAACGATCGCGAAATTTATAACCTAAAGTGCGCTCAAACTCATCGAAACCCTCGAGCATATTCTCAAGTTCCTGAGTGGCGTTGGGTGAGTAAAGTAAAAGTGGACTTTTTGGAGCTGTCCATTCGCCATATACTGTTATCTCGCTGTTATCATCAGGATTTGTACTGCCTGGTACACGAGGCTTCAATGGATCGTATGGTTTACGTACATAGGGGAGTACACGTATACCCAACCAAGCCATAAACAATAGAGCGCCACGCGGTCCGCATTCGATAAGGTAGGCTCCAATTAACGCTTCAACACAATCGGCAACCGACTTATCTGAAATAATTTTTTTTTCTATTAAGAAGAAGAAGGAAACAAATATCGTTCATGTAAAAACTCACCCGGTATACTATGCTGCGTAACAAGATTATATGGTATGAAGCAAGTAAAATCATTGCCTTCACCACTTTCATCAAGAGCAACAGCATCCTCGTTATAATTGCATTCCTAAGGCGGTAAAAAAGTTTTTATTACGTCGATGAAAGAAGAAAAGTGTTATACTTACATCTCCGAATAGGCCCAATTTGTCAGCCTTTTCACGAACTAAAGCGCATATTTCGGTGCTGTTCAGTTTTTTAATGTTGGCCAAATCGGCGAGCTTCCAATGATGTGGTGGTATCTAGAAAAAATCTTAAAGTTTATAACAATCTATTAATCCATTAAAATGCTCTAGCTACCTTCGCCTCGATGAGTGCCTTCTCCAACTCTTTCGGCACGTAGTAACAAGGTGGCAGCCAATTATCGTGAGGCTCAAACTTTGTTGCTATCATATATTCGCCAAGATTTTTCCGGCGTCCTAATCTATACAGATTCAAGTTGGCTACTTGCTTCGAACGCAAATGGCTAAGTTTACCTTCATGTACGTTTTCATATGTTATGTACAAATAAGTGGTGATGGCATATTTCAGAAATGAATCGCCAATGGTTTCTAAGCGCTCCAAATTAATGCCATCATTGGCATTGGACATGGTTAACGCTTGTAGGATGATACTGGGACTAGGACCGGGATGACCAGTCAAATTTGGTTGGCGATCGAAACTAAAGGTGTTGCCGTCATTGTTTCTATTTTCGGTCTTTGCAGGCACTAGGTTATTTTTGTCAGTGGAGGGTTCTTCCTGCTCAAATTTCAGCTTAATAAGTTTCTTACATTCCTCGCCATTGGGTTTCAGTTTCAAAAAATTCTTATCATTAAAATTATCAAATATATCACCACTACCTTGAATTTCGAAAAACTCAACATTTTGAGTTTTCAAATATTCATCATTCAACTGCGCAATATCCCAGATGGTCAGCACATTTCGGCGCTCGTTTAAAATGTCAACTAACTTATTTTTATCGGCATAAGGCAACAGTTGACAAAATGCCTCAATAGAAGGCGTTTCATCGCGTTTATCAGTGTGGCTATTAGTCGTGTCCTTGCGTGCCAACAACACTGGTTGATTGTATTTCACGAGCATACTTGACTGTTCGATTGTTTCTTTCATTAGACGTGTGGAGGTCGTGAACTGTTCGATGGATCGACGTATTTCCGTTTCTATGCTCGGCTTTAGGTCCACAAAATTATAACCGACAAGCAAGTTTTTGGTTTTTTGATAATCACGTTCATTCGCATTGGTTGCTTGTATTATGGAGAGTTGTTTGTTGCGCTTCTCAATTTCCTGATCGGTCTCTATCGTTTCTGCTTCATTCCTTGAGGTGAATGCAATGCGCAGAGGACCAGTATCATCTTCGTCATCACTATAATTTGCCCGATCATTACCATCGTAACTAGATGCGAATGAATCGTCCGAGTCATAGTAAGCAAATGAATTTTTAGCAAAGCTATTTGTGTCGTTGCACTTGTTGTGCACTTGATCTTGTGGTTTGTGGTTCAATTCAGACTCTTTTACATCCCAAAAAGTGGGTGAGCCATAGCGCATTTGTTGATCACCTGTTGTTGTTGGGGGTAATTAAAAATATTGAGAAAATACATTAAAATCTAATACGAACTCATTGCTACTTCAGATATACACATATATAATTACACTTACAGAAGCTAACATTCGATGGAAAGTATTTCAAGCACTCCTCCTCATCATCATCCATGGACTCCGAGTTTTTATTGAGATTAATGTCATCCGCCATTTCATTTGACCAAGTACCTATCTCAATGAATGTGCTATCCTAAAGAGAAAATAAACATATTAAAATACTTCATTGCAGTTTTAAGCCATGGTTACAATTTCTCCAATACTACCTTCAGCTTTCTTTCACCTTCTATTATGATTTCGTTTGCGCTCTTTGTCTTCGTAGATAGATTATCGTCTGAGCTGTTGCCATTGACTCCATTATCCATGCCCAAGCCATTGCCTTGTTTGTCTTTTCCTTCCTTTTGACCAGGTTCAATTGTTTTTTCCCCAGGTACATTCTTATTTTCTTTTGATCTTTTCAACACTTCCGATAAACTCCAACCGAAATCCAGCATTGGCCATTCGAAGTCATCGGGAATATCCTGCTGTCCAAGCCCAATATCTAACGCCACCTTTTTGCGTATGTCATCTGCTAGTAGCAGTCCATTGATGCGATAGAGTATGCAAGGTAAGCAAACGGCTGTACGCCAAAGCGATGCGGGGAATGGGTGTACAGTGCACAATTCGGGTACGAGAATTTGTTTTTGTTCGAGATTTTCGCGTTTGGCACGTTTAGTTTCCTCCGAACTGGTGGGCAAGGCTACACCTTTTCGATTTACATAACGTGGTGTGAGAAAGTTTAAGCGTGCGCTCGTATGATCCACATCTAATAACGGTTGCTTGACATTCTGTATGTTTAGCTGATATTTGAGAAAGTAGTAGTGTTTAAAGGTACGGTAGTTTTCGCCAGGAAAACAACTTAGCGGTGAGAGTTGTGGACAAATTTCAGCAACGTAAAAATATTGTGGTTGATCCTGGTTGCGATACCAAGGCATTACGACGGCATCTCTAAACTTATTAGCATCAAAATCAATAGATATGCGCGATTCCTCTGGCACTGGAGTTGGCATCATTCCTGCGTTCTTTTCAATCAACTCGAGGAAATCCCAATCGATTATTTTCCTACCACTTTTTTTTACAGTCGGCACAATAAATACACAATTTTCGGTGGAATCAGGGTCGAAGAGCATAAGAAACTTTTGTAGACGCAATACGTTTGTAAATGTATAGTTGAGGAATGTATTGATGCAACGTATTTGTGTTTCGGTAAGCACCACACTCTCCTTTGAGAGATCTATGGATACTTTAACTTCCCCAGAACGTGTAAAAATAGGAAAGGAACTGACTTTGGGTATGCGTTTTAGTGTAAGTATACCGAAACCTTGTTGTGCGTCTTCAGGTGGATAGATTTTGCGGCCACGTGTGTTTTGCTCCTCCGGAATGGGACACTGTAGTGTCAAGTCAATGAAATATAAATGACACGGTACACCAGCAGTTGGTCGACAGTCACTAAATTCCGACGCGATCTAGAGCGAAGAAATATTACGTGAAGAACAATGCATTTGATAAAATGATTATGCTACTTACTCGCTTATAATAATACTGTCTACGTTTCGTTGTGCCGGGACGTGGTTCTGAATTTTCATGCACGATTTTTTCATCTTCCTCCTCCAATTCGAAATTCTCCCAATCGGACTCCATAGCACGGAAGCCCTCCTTTCCTATCGGTTGCAAATTGTCATCTAATTCACCTCGTTTATGTAGTTCTATACAGACTTGCAATGCAGCCAATCTACGCGCCAGTATGTTGGATGAAGCCGGAAGACCCTGAAGTGAAATTCAAAGATTAAGAAATCTAATTGCTTTAGGTAACATTGCTAGGCATAACCACATACTACTATGTCATATTTTAATGGTGAATTTATGGGAAGACGTATTGTATATTGGTACACTTCGACGCCGCACCGAGTTGATTTGGAACAACGCCAGAGCGCAGTAAGCTTAGTGAATGTATCACTTGGCAGTTTGGAACAGTATTTGTTTACTAAAGCGATGGCAGAAGTGAGATCCACCGAAGCGCCTGTCAGTAGGTGTTCCAAGGGCTTGTAGCGCTTTACGCATTTATTAAAATAATCAGCCATATGGTGCTCCGCCTCCGGAGGCTCAGTATTAGCGCATTTTTGTAGAAGTATCTGAAATACGAAATGAGATTTTATTAAAAATATTCAATGTAAACATGTGAAACAGTGAATACTTTTTCAATTTCCCGATACTCTGCTAGTTGCTCGATTATTTTGTTAGTGGTGCACTCTATTTGTCTAACCATTCCATCGAACGCCTTGGGCAAGTTCTCAGCATGATTTTTATTTTCACAAAGGCAATTAAAACGACGCTTTTCAGTTTTTGATTTCTTTGGTGATGCGGAGTTTGAAGATGTTGTAGTGTCTTTTAATAGGGAGTTTGAACCAGAATCATTCAATGAACTGGTTATCTCCGATATAGCATCACTAAGACTTAACACTTCGTAGCAATCATTTAAGGAATTATTGAGTGAAGATTTTGTTTCTGTTTCTTTCACAGCATTTGTTTCATATTTCTCACTCGATTTCCCATTCATTTCCACAATGTCAACGACATCCACCTCCTTATCTTCTACGCCTTTAATGGCAGGTAACTCATCCGTAATTTCCTTTAGAACAATATCGCTTTTTGTTGGTGGTTTATTTGTAATGACTTCAGGATTCAATATTTTTACGATTCCCTTAGAAGAACCAATAGTGAACTTATTTGTTGTGCCATTACTGGCAGTCTCATCATCACTAAAAGAATCAGATTCAATTATATCATCCTGCCCATCATCGAGTTTACATAAATAACTATGGCTTTGGTCACTTAGTTGCTCATTTTTGCTCTGAATTGCATGATAACCCGGTGATACTAATATTACATGATATGCAGGAGCCGCTCTCGCACGTCCCTTACATTGTACATAACTGCGATATGTTGTAGGTGCGTCCCAGCGCACAACCAAATTACATTTTGGCAGATCGATGCCCTCCTCCAGCACAGAAGTTCCAATTAAAACATTACAATCGTGCATGCGAAAACGTTTAAGTACCTCTTCCTGACGTCTGTGCTCTAATTCAGCTTCTTTCGGTTCCGTAATTGGATCAGCCACACGATCTGTTGTATATTGACATTTCAAAAATTTCAAGTCAGGATCGTGTCGACTCATTTCACTTAGCAAATCGAACAATACTCGCGCTGTGTAATTTGAATTGCAGAAAATGATCGCACAGAGAGTATCCAATCCGTCACCACCATCTCGCATGTGTCGACGATTGAAAGGTCGCCGTTTGAAACGTCCATGTGAACCACCATGCCGCCGGTTTGTTCCGGTTGTATTTTCTGGTCTGGTCGATGTATTGACCTGTACGTGCTGCTTTCGTTCATAAGTTGGACTTGGTTTTACTATCGGATCCAAATTGTCAATTATCGAGCGAGACTCAATTTGTAATTTTGCGGTAACATTTTCGACATTTTGGCAACTGTATTCGATATTCCGACTGAGTTTTTGGAAATCCATCTTATCTAAATCCTGACCCATTTTATGAATTGTTTCATTTTTCGTTAATAATTCTTCTGGTTTAAATAAACGTAAAATTTCCAGTAAGCGGAAGACCTTTGGACTTGAATAACGTTCTACCAGTTCTTTGTGATTGGTAATTTTTTTGAATGTTTGCTCGCAAATAGCATGAAATTCCAAAAGCGCTGTACTCACAACACAAAGTAAAATGTAGTGACGTTCATGTGGTGTTTTTATTTTTTGGTTTTCTATGCGGTGGTACATATTAACGGCTACACGATCAGCACACCACGGCCCCATTTCATAGAGTACAAGTAGCATAGTCTCCAGGAAGCCCATGGGTTCCTCCTTTGGATCGGGTATGTCTATGAAAGCGGTCTAAGATCAGAAGAAAACTAATTATCTTTCAATTTATGACCAACCTTTTAATTCCTCTATATATTCGTCTGTACTGTAGATTTCAAAAGGATCGTAGCGATGATCAGTTAAGAAAGCTTTTCGGGTACAAATGATTTCTTCCAGCACGGCGCTAAGCTCATCACGTTGATATGGTGTACATTGCACTATAAGTTCACTGGGTTTTGCACAATACCTACACAGATTATATATAAGAAAAATTACATTCAGTAATCTATGTATGTGCAAAATGAACTTACCTTAGTACCGTGACAATGTCACTAGCGGTCTCTGCCTTGCAATGCACACTGCTTTCCAGCGTGTTTAACATTGCACTAAGTTCTTGTAATGAGCACTCAGCGCTATGCAAAGGTCCTGCTAAGCCCAATACTTTTGGTTTTTCACTATCAAGGTTATTGAAAAATTCAGTGAAAATTTGCCGTAAATCCATGCAGACGTTAGCTTCATGACAATCTTCCAAAATCAAGAGCTGTACCTTTTCCAAACTCAACTCTCCACTTCGCAGAGCTTCCAAACAAGAGTGCGGATGTAGAACATATAGTTGAAAGTTTTTCGGTATATTCGGTGAGCTATCGATCTTGGCTTCATCTTTATACACCTTCAAATCCGTCAGATGTTCTATCATGGTTGTGATTGATGGTGACGACTTTTCACATGTTAGATACAAGTTTACTTTTCCCGCTATTCTTGCTGGTCTAGCCAGCTCCTGGAGTAACTTCAATGCAATAAATTCTTTGGAAGATTTGTGACCAAGACATATTATCACATTACGTTCATAGGCCGCAGAAAGAAGCTCGATTTGATAATCACGCGGTGTTAAAACCGTGGTATGAATATTATCACACCAATGGAACGACATCTTGGTGGCATAAAACGAACTACACCTTCTATTATATGCTAGCTAATCTTTAAAGAACCAAAAATAAGAATTCGGGAATTCACACAGCTTGCGCAGCCGGCAAGCAATTCGACAGCACACAGATGATTATTAAAAGTCGGTACAATATGAAGTAAAATTTACGTACACAATCTCAAAGAAGTCTAATCCCTGATACAGCATGTTTTGTATACAAATGGAAAGGCCAGCTTTGACAGAAGTCCAATGTAAATTATAAACAAAGAACTGTCAAAAGTAAAGGGAATTTCTAAAGATTAGAAAACACTAGACTGGACATTTTTATAAAAATCTTTGAATACAACTCTGTGTTGTGTATTTATTCCGATTACATCGACGCCGGTTTTTGGAATTTTTTCTCTAATTTATTTGGACATATATTTTGATAAGAAAATGGTGCGAACGGTAAAGGAGACGGGTTTTGTTGTCGAAAAGATCGTTGACAAAAGGATAACACCAGAAGGAAAAGTTGAATACTATATTAAATGGCGCGGGTATCCCAGGTAAATTTCATTAGTTAAGAGGTAGCTGAAAATGTTAAACAAATTTTTTTAGCGCTGAAAATACCTGGGAACCTGAAGAGAATTGTGATTGCCCAGCGTTAATACAAAAGTTTGAGGAATCGAGAGCTAAATCAAAGAAACGTGGTGAGAAAAAACCTAAAGTTGAGGAAATCCAAAAACCGCGCGGCTATGAACGAGGCTTGGCTATGGAGCAAATTGTTGGCGCAACAGATGAAACCGGTGATGTATCGTATCTAATCAAATGGCAATTTTGCGACGAACTGGATTTGGTAGCCGGTGAAGAGGTCCGTGAGAAGAATCCAGAATTTGTAATTGACTTTTTCGAAAAACGCTCACCATTTCAACGAGTTATTAATGAGCGCTTGCTGGGTGTACCCGATGAACTGCGTATAATGAATATGAATGATCCACCAACGTCCACAATTAATGCAGCAGATGACGACACGGGTATGATGGTGGGTAATGAAGGAATACAAAATACTGCAAATGAAGCAGGTGGTAACGTAGATACCGCTGCTGTGTCATATTCTATTCCAGTACCTGGAGTTGGCAACATAGCTATCGATGTACCAATTTTAGACACACCTATATAATAAAACAAGGTCAAATTATCATTGTAATTCAATTTTTCATATATCTTAATACAATTACTTTACAAACACAAATTTAATTAACCTTTACTCTATTTAATATACAAAAATACAACATATATGGATTTGTAAGTATTCTTTCATCTGTCCAAATTCATACCACCGAAGTCACCATCGCGGAACTGCCTTATAAGTTTACGAGCTGCTAGCAAAACATCTGGCATTAGCACTATTTGTCCATGAAGATTTTTAATTTTTCTTTCTAAACCTAAGGCTTTGGCGTGTGAGACTAGGACTTCTGCTATGCTGTCCGTTGGATTTTGTAAACCAACTGTTTTTACATACTCGAATCGACGATTCTTATTCATCCAATATAACATGTAATCCGCTATCAGTTCTTCCCCTACTAAATGATCAGGTAAGCAGCCGACTAAGGCTAATTTCATACCCATTTCGTCATCTGATATACGGGGCTCGAGAATTCCTGGAGTGTCTATCATATAAATTAAAGGATCGTCACAAATTTTGATACGTTCCAAAACGGAACGCGTTACTCCGGCTGTATTTCCAACTTGAGTAGCACTTTTCTTTCGTAAGGTTTTATTACGTAGCACATTTATAAGTGAACTTTTACCAACATTCGGCACCCCAAATACCATCACACTTGCCTCTTTAAGTCCTTCCCTGTTAAAACGCTGCGACGAAGATATTAAATTGTGTGCAAGAGGTATTATGCGTTTAACACCCAAGCATTGTTGGTCTTTACAGTTTGTAAATACAACGTGCTCGATACCTTCTCGTTCTTGCAGTTCGTTGGCTAGTTTGCGTTGTTCGCGTACTTCTATGAGATCTTTTTTATTTAGAACAAGTATATGAGGTTTCGCTCCTCCAGATATAGTGTGCTGGAATTCTGGGTTACGTCCCGAAAAGGGGATGCGGGCATCGTGTACTTCGATAACACAATCTACTGATCTTAGCTTTTGCTGCATTTGCTTCAATCCTTTCCCCATATGGCCTGGAAACCAGCGTATTGACTGTTTAGTCACTAATTTATATGCCTCGCGAAAAGACATTTTTTTAAAGAATTTTCAAATAAAACTTTTTATAATGTGCATACTATACGAAAAAAACAAATGATGCAAGTGAAAAACAGAAAACAGCTGACTTTGACGTTTACTTAGCCTGTACATTTAAAAAACAATTTTATTGACCACAAGATAAAGTAACTAAAATTACGATAGGATTAAATTCCTAAAAATAAAATATTGGAAAGGTAATTATTGTTCACTGCGAATACAAAATAGTAAATTTATTTGATTATTTTTCGGAATTTAAAATAGCTCAAAGCCTAGCTTAGTCATTACTTAATAATACCACTTAATACAGCAAATATTTCTTTTTTAATTTAAATTAAATTTATTCACTCGCTACTTAAAAATAGTATAAATTTGAAAAAATACTTTTAAAGTTCCTCTCGATACTTAGATTTAACCTCAACCAGTTCTTCTTCACTTACAACATTAAATTTAATTAGCTTTTGATATTCTAGTAAAAGTTTTTTCCAATAGCACTCGATGTCTTGCATTCGAAGATGATCCAAAATAAATTGTTTGCCATGTTCAGAGATTTCTCGAGCCAGATCATCATTATCTTGAAAAAAATGTATAATGCTTTCGATTTCTTCCGCACTTGGATAGCTTTTTATTGGCACATAGTGAACCCATGGTTTCAACGCAAAATAAAAAAACTCATTCCATTCATCGCCTACATGAAATACTAATGAATTACATAGGAATAAATGTTTTAAACGGAAACTCGCAGCAACGCCTCTAAAGTTAAATAAATATTTATAACGACAATGATCTTCAAACTGTACTTCCTTTGCTGGTTCAGCATTTAAAGTATCTTTCGGCGACTTCCACGCTTGGTTTTTTGTATATTGCGCGTCAACTAAATCTGGTCTGCGACGTGACAAAAGAATTAACGCATCGCGTTCATCAGATGTGCGCGAACCTCTAAAGAAACCAATGGGAAGCTTTTCCGTCCAAGAAGTTTTTAAAGCACTTTTAGTTAAACTATCACGCAATAAATCCCAGCGACCAATGCCTGTTGGATAAAGAGATATGGCAGGACCACCAGCCCAAAAAGTCCAAGCTGGATACATAATGTCTAAATAACTACTGGTTTTAGAAAATGAAAATATTGGGCCCATTCTGTCACCCAAACCAGTGGGTACCTGTGGCCAATCTCGTGTATTCACCACTAAATCCATATCAGGAAGTTCGTCTACAAGTTTAAGAAGAAAGTGTTCAATCCCACTGCAGCGAGCTGGAAACATACATTCGATATCACGATAGAGACGATGATTTAAAATTTTATACCGCGTTCCATATTTTGCGGAAATTCTCAGCATTTGATTAGTAACGCCTTTGCTTTGATAAGGCTTCAGATCATTGAAAATAACATCGCTGTGACATTCACAATTAACATCACCACCTTCGGAACAAGGAGTATATTCTTCCAATAACTTTTTTATTTTCTTTATTAATCTGTCACCTTAAAAAAAAATAGTTTGAAAACAGAAACGATTTTATCGACCACCAGCGTTCACTTACCAATTAATATTTCTTCTTGGGATCGGCTATTTTCACTATTATCAAGGCCACGTATTTTGTTGGGATAATTATCATCTATTGATGATAATGCATAACATTTGCAGGTAATTATAACCAAATAAAATAATAGTAATTTCATAATTTATTAAATTTGTTTACATTTATATGAATTGTAATGTGTATTTCTGTGCCGGGAAATAAAGTTTGACAGCAATCGGTATAAGCAGAGATGAGTTTGATTTTTCGGTAGCTACGTAAAGTGAACGCTGCCACTATGTATTTAATAACACATTAGGGAGGACATGAAAACGTAGATATATCGCTTCCGTTGTATTTTGTTGGCAAAATTTTTCATTTCGACGTATGACTATCCTGAAAAAAGTCTCCTCAATACAATTGTAGAAATAAAGGTTCCAGTTTATTTATTTTGAACTTTTATTTCTTCTGTCTAAGAAATTGAGTATTTTTAATATATATTTGTGATAAATTACTGACAAACTCAAACTTTAACGACGAGGAAATTGATTATTTGAATTTTGAATTTAAATTAAATTACATACAAAACACGTTATACTACAGCGTGTTGCAACGCAGGTGCATTGCTTATCCGTTATAGGGAAGATTCAAACTGAACCAATTTGAGATGCTTATCAGAAGTCATTAGGTATATGTATGTATAAGAGCGGCAGATATCACCTCAAAATTTTCAAGTCAGTATAGAAATGGGTGATAACAACATTGATGTAAAGCTTAACGGGTGTTTATAAAGAGTTATAGAGCTAGTAAACTATGTATTGAAATTGTCGCCAAAAGACAGACAGCTGAAATATATAAGTATGGTATAATTTATTCTTAAAAATTTTAAATTAAATTGAATCAGAACAAAATGGTACGTATATAAAATTACATATATTTTGAGGGTAAATACTTCCTAATATTTGATTGAACACACGCAACACTTGTTTCTTTGATGCAACCGTGCATGTTTTACTCGACTGTCGTCAGCAATTTTGTTTTTCTCTACTTCCGAAACGAAATCGACAAATCGAGCCATCAAAAACGAAAAATTGACGATGCCGTCAAAATAAGTCCGTGTTCAAGAAATAATAAAGAATTGTGAAAAAATTATTTACGCAATTTGGATGAAGGCTGTAATAAAATTATAAAACCTTTGTGTATATTTTTAATTGAATCGAAAATTGTGTATAATTTACGTGACAAAGAAGTGCAGAAGCAGAAAAAAAACAGTGAAAGAAAAACGAAAAGAGAATCGAATAAATAGTACATACACACATACATAACTGCTAATTGAATAGTAAATTATTCGACAGTGTATGACAAAAGAAAAAAAAATCCGAATATTAACGAAATAATTACAGCAAAGAAATACCAACGACTGTAAGCAGGAGAGGAACATAAAGGCAACGAATCATTTCCACATTTAAGCTGAAGTCTAAACCATCCATCCAAGGCCAAACGACTGATCCACATTTTCAGAGTTGATGACGGCAACTTACGTTTGTTGAGAAATGATTCCTAAAACCCACTAAATAAGGTATAACATTTGCTTTTTGGCCATGAATATAGTTTTTTTTATTTCCTTTATAAATTTTACATTTGCATATAAGTCGGTTATGAGAATTGAAACTCCGAATAGAGAACACGTAATTCGTTGTTGGAGTTGAAATAGTATTTACCGAAAATTGATTTTTAGCCAACTATGTTTCGATAAATATAATTTTCACAAATAAATGAGCCAGCGCTATTCGCCCTATAACTCCTCTACATTTACGAGTTCGCCACAAACACCAACAACGTGTGACCGATCCTCAACCAGTCATATGAATTTACGGAAATATGTTAGTACATATGTACATACATACTTTTGTTGTTAATTTTTGTGCGGAAATGAGCTTTCTTTTTGTTTGGTATTACGATTTCGTCACCTTGTCGGTGGCATAACTGTTTATTTTATTAACCGCTCATTGAGTAGCCACTTATTTTAGTAAAATGAATTTGAATGTCAAATTAATTTTTATAGGACATCTTCTTTAAACTAAGTTTGAATTTCAATATATTTTAAGATTTCAAAGAAAAATTCTATTCACAACCAATTTTTTATAAATTTTTCGTACTTTAATACTCCCTCGCTTTATTTGTAGTGCTCTAGCCCAAATTAATTTTTGAAAAGATTAATAATTTATTTGCGGTGTTTCAATGAAAGAGTCAAAAATCCAAACCAGTTTGTACTCACATATAATACATATGTATGTATGAACATTATGTACATACATATATGCAGGTATGGTGCTGCATTAGTAAATTTTTTCGTTACAGATCATTGATTTTTCTTAATGATAGGTTGGTCAATCTTTACTCGCAATTGAATAGGGCTCGTAATTTCCTTCTACATAAAACGTAATGCTTTTTTGTAGGTTCTTGTGTACAAATATTAAGTTAACTACTCCATGTCCATGGTTGTTGGATCGTGACACTCCTTAAATAGCTAATTGTCATGGATTCTAACGATTCATGTGCATATGTATGTATATATAGATTTTGGCCGAAAGTTTAGTAAAAGTTTAAAGATTTTATCGTACTGATACCACTTGCTTCTCTATGTCTTGTATCATTGCACACATATATATTTACACACATGTATATATGAGCAAAACCTTTTTTGAACGTTTTGGAAGATGATGAATAGCTAAAACAGCTGAGAATTTCGTACTTAAATTTATAATTATAATACCAGAGATAATGACAAGGTAATACTAATGTAAATTAATTTAAAATATATTCACCTACTTAAATTTTGTAATACATAGTAATAAATCTTTTGCGATTCTAAGCTTTTTAATAATAAAAAAAAGTCCACAACATGCATGCTCATTTCATAATTTGTTCCATATTGTTGTTGATGTGGAGTGTGTGTGTCTCTCTTCACATATGTATATATGCATGTGGGTGTAGCGAGCAACTTTATTTTATTGGTTCAGCGACATCTTATTTGTTTTGCCGCTTTTTTATTACAATATATATACATATATATGTATATCCATATATATATGTATGTATATACATACATATGTACAAGTGTATACATTCTTGTGCCATGCTATATATAAAATACCATAAATTCATTAAATAAAATACACAATGATTAAATAAATAAAAGTTTGAAGACCTTTTGATGTGTGCTAGTGATGTTAGAGCCAGGATGTCTGAGTGTGCTATGGACATATTTATGTATGTTTGTACTCATTTTAATTACAATTAAAGCAAAATGTTTACTACTTACATACATACACGTACATACATTTGCGTGTATGTCAATATATTCTCTTGAGATTTTCCTCTCATGCATGCAATATTGATTAAGATACATACATATTCATACATACATATGTAAGTATGTCTGTATCTTGTAGAATTTAACTGCTTACAATTTCATGACTCAACTTTGAATTCAATAAACTGTGTGTTACCCTAATTACTTTTCCTGCTTCTTCATACATACCTACATTTATAACTACATGTGTTTGGATGTATATGTATATGTGTGTATATGCATTGTATGTATATATAATACGCATGACTTTTATGTGCATATTCTATTTTCTTTCCACCTCGGCAATAACCAGCGTAAAAGTAATGATTTGGTCATCCACACCTACATATCTCCAACCATACGGCGAACAACAAACTTTTTACTCAAAATACAAGCTAAAGATGCCTTCGTGAAGTCTTTATTTTAATGCGTTTGACTCTTGCAAGATTGCATTCGAATAAATATATTAAATATGTATGTGTGTAAATATATATATGCATGACTGCCTTTCGATTACTTTTCTTTCAAATTTTTTTCCCCCAATAACAAGGCGCATGCTCTACCCTGAATTTTTCCCTTTTTATGAGAGCTATTACACGCTTTCTTCGGCATTTTGAGGTGCTGTGGTGAGTTTTTTAAGGGTTGTATGAAGTGAACTCGCATATATTTATATAATATTATATATTATATGAGTTCAGGATATATAATTTTGATACTCTTTGGGACTGTCAAAAAGTTTCAGTGTTTCACTCTGTTTGAAGGCATAATTTCCTTTTTAAATATATGTAGTGTCTTTTATGTATTTTATATACACACATATGTATGCGGAAATTATTTATTCATCTTATCACTTTGGTTTTGTAAGAAAAATACCTCTTGTTAGATACCTTTTCTCAATTCTCCTTTTACATGTTGATTAAGAAGAATTTGCTTTGTGCGTGACTTGGCTGCAAATTTTACTATTTTGTTTTCTATTTACTTTTAGCACATACTTCTTATACTCGTACTCGTACTTACGTATATTGTAAACTTATCTAGAATTGAATCATAGTAATTTTAGTTCTTAGAAAATGTTTTTAAGTACACGATCTGACTGTCTCCATGCACTTGTTTGTACATTTATATTGAAAAATACTACAATGAAGAATGCAATGCTGTAAACCTTCAAAAACTTGGTTGTAAAATCTTTGGTGCTGCACATCGATTTTGTATTCCTTAATTCATTTCGTAGTTTTGTAACGTTAGTATATACAATACATACATATAAAAAGTCTAAATCCCATTCGTTTATCTTGCGGCTACAGAGGGCTGTTGGCCGATTCGAAGAATTTTTTTGCGGCTACAATAGCAGCAACTTAAGGCAGTAGTCTGCTTTACAGGCTTCAATAACATTTTTTTTCTTAAACCTATTCTAAAACTCAGGGCTGTCATGGAATCCAATTGCTCTCGGAATTGGAATTGAAACCGACAAATGTTAACCACCGATGTTATCGGTTTTATGTTCGAATCGGAATTAGTGTCAGTTTTAGGTGTCACAGAAACCAAAATTATCGGTTTTATTGTTGGAAACAATCCAAGCAGCTTACCGCTATTGGATTTGATTTGTGTAAACCTTTTTTTTCCATTTGCAGCTTTAAATTTATAATTATAATTTAATTTAATAATATTTATATTCCATAAAATTGTAAAGTGGATCTCTATATGGCGTTATTAAAAAAGGTTCTATGGCATATCGGCAATCTCCCAATAACCTAGATGTCCGGTCACCTGACTCATACATCCTAAGAAAATATTTTCTGGCGCTACTAATGTTCCATACGAATGAGTCATGGCTAGAGCTGGGATATCGAGTCAACCATTAGAATTTTCATGCCACCATCACAAATCTAAATGTAGGTAAACATACATAAATCAATACTTGTATATAAGTCCGTTTTCACAACTACTTACGATCATGGCATTCATACTGAAATATCCCTTTCGATTATAAACGAGATGTTCATCAAGACTAGGCTTGATTATTTTGATGTGTGTCTCGTCGATGCAACCAATTATTGAGGGAGTCTTAAACTTTCAATAAAAATAGTCCCTAGATCAAGCTGCTAGCTGTAGTATTGGTGGAACCTGCGATCGTCTCAAGTGCCCGTCAATGGTATCAAGTACCATTTAGAAAGCCTCTTTATTAAGTCAATAATACGCTATGAAACTGCAAATAAACTATAAGTATTAAAAAGCCCTAAAATTAAAATAAATCTACTAACGCTGTATTGGGCAGCTCAAGTGGGTTGCTGTTTCATGACACCTAATGAAATCAATATCGGTTTGCAATTCCGATAAAAAGCAAAACCGACTTGGGTTCCATGACAGCCCTGACTATCTTGCCTTATATTTTAGTATTAAATAATGTTGATTATATTTTTAATTGTAATATTGAATACTTGATTCTTTTCCTAATATAATAAGAAATAATTATTAGTAAAAATATAGTCAATATGCTCTCACTTAGCCAGTGTATGTGCAAAATAAATAAAAATTCATTTAATTATGCGATGTAAAGTTGTTTATTTTACAGCTGAGACATTTTTATAGATATTTTCAAACAAGAGAAGTTGCCCAAGAAATAAAAAGAGTATAAAATGTGTTCCAACTGAGGGAGCTGTGAGTGTAATCTCCATTTATCATACACTCCGATCGTGCAACGCCTTAGCTATGAATTTGAGCCACGGTGGAAGCTATTGGCTTTTGATTTCCTAAACAATTGCGTTGAAGTAACATTTATACTCGTTCCAGCGACAATACATTCACTCATTTATGTAAAACGGTTTGTTTGTAAGGGAGCGATACAAATTTAAAATTCTTTTTCTTTTTGTATGACTTAGTAATTTTCGTTTATTTGTCCATTCATTATATTATAAGTACGTAAATACAGTTTTACTCATAAAGAAACTCACCACACTCATGTCGCACAGCACTCTTTTGGTAAGACTACGCCAGAGCACTCCATATACATAGAAAGAATTGTGCCGATTTCCTCTTCCGATGAAGTTGGGCGTTAAATAGCCAAAGTACGAAGTTTATGATTGTATTTTATTATTAAAAGAGAGTAAGAGACTGAAGTATGCGCTATAGCTGCGTTCCAGTTTAACCAGTAGGCAATTCAGTTAAGATTATAATGGTTGTCAAAAGATTAGAAGACTAGTTAATGTGGCAGTGTTATCTCTAAA